AGGGGGCAATTTTACAGGAGATACGGAGCAGAAGAGTAACATGATCTGATTTAGATTTTAAAATAATTGCTTTGGTTCCTACTTTAAGCTACCTGAGACTGACAAACACAAGAGTAGGTCTAAGAAGACCAGTCAGGAAAGTGGAAGGATAGGACCACCATCATTTGAATTAAGAAAGTCTATGAGTAGAACAGGTCTTGGTGGGAAGAAAATCAGGAACTCCGTTTGGAATGTTTTTAGTATGAGCTGTTTATAAGACATCCAAGTGGAAATTATGTATGGTGTTTGAAAATGTGGTTCTGGCAGGAGTTACTCTTACATTTTTGGTGCAAAAAGCATTACTTTTTCATAAAATTTAGTACAAACTTGCTAAAGACCATGTCCAGGAAGACTTTATTTACTTTGAAAATTTTTAGTACTGAGGTATCTTTCAAAATTATTTTCTGTATGATTACTTAACCAAAAAAAGGGTAATTTTAATGACAGGGAAAAATTTACATGCATAACATTAATAATTTATATTTCACATATATACAGCCATTCCTCCTTATAGATTCTTTCCTAAATGAATAAAATATAAGACAAAAAAGGTTAAACTGGGGCAAAATGAGAATCATACAGGTGATATAATCTTAAGTCAAATCTCTCTAAGACCTCAAATTAGGAATTAATGTTACTGGAAATTCTGAAGTAATCTCACAGTTCCCATCTTTAAAAACTCCTCCCTTGACTGTGTTTCCCTGGATCTCCTCATCTACCAAGTCAGTTAACATTTAAACACTGCTCCTTTCTGTCATACTCAAAACTAGTAGAGAACAATTTTTCACATTTGGTTTTTGCCTCTTCGTTCCAATTTACCTTCTAACCTGATTCCACTGAAACTGCTCTTGCAAGGTTCTTAATTCACCTCTGTGCAGCATTTGATACTCTTCCTCCCTCTTTGCTAAATAAAGCTCATCCTCTCTGTGATATTGCTCGTTCTCAGTTCTCTCTAAGCAGAATTCTACTGACTCTTCTTTATCTCCTCTTCCACTTAATGCTGGTATGTCCATCTGATCTAACTCCCCCTTTGTTCCTACTCCTTATACTCTCTCTGGAGATTGACTCTGTGAACAATGGCATTAACATCCTTTCTTCCCATCTATTCCTCATACATCAATAATTTCAAAATGTTTATCTCCATCCAGACCTACCTTCATGTTCTAAACCAGTACTGTCCAATAAAAATATAATGCAGGCCATATATGTAATTTTAAAATTTATTGTATCCATATTTTAAAAATAAATGGGTAAAATTTATTTTAAGATATTTTATTAAACACAATCTGGCAGTATCATTTTATAATATAATCAAGATAGATTATTTTTGAGATATTTTTGTTCCTTTTATACTACATGTTCAAAATCCGGTGTATATTTTACACTTACAGCATACCTCAAGTTGTATAACCACACTTCACATACTCAATAAATACATGTAATTGGTGGCTACAGTATCAAAAAGTGCAGTTCTAAACAACACAAAAGCCATGTCTAAAACTGAACTCATCTTTTTCTTTAAATCTGTCCCTCTTATATTCCCTGTATTAGTGTGTACATCTATATACACACGGAAGCCAGAAATCATCCCACATCCCACCACTCCCTTAACATGACACACCCAATTAATCCCTAAAGTCCTTTTCATTCTACCTCCTAAATGTATCTCAGCTCTCTATATTGTAATGGCTGTTTCTAAGTATGTTCAATCACTGGACTCTAACTTCCATTAAGTCATGGACTATGTTTTCTCTTGTTTATGTCTTCAATACTGCACAGAGTACCAGACAAACAGCAGATACCCATTAACCATTTGCTTTGACAATCATTAATCATTTGCTATACGGACAAAGCCAGAAAGTTTTCTGAGGCAACTGAGAACTAAACCTCAGAATAAAAAGTCAAAGGAGAGTTAATCAACTGAAATGAAAACATCAAGAAGCCAAAAGAGAAGACAATACATTAAAATCCAAATAAAATTCTAAAGGTAAAAGTATTGGACAATAATTGGATTTAAAGTAGCAACTAAGCTAAGTTTACATATGATAAACACACTAAGTAACGAACTTTGCATTCATTACATTTGGCTTTAATAAAATATACTACATGACATATTCTATTAATACATTCAAATCTAGATTCCTTACTAAAATATTTGATCTACTTTAGACCAAATAATCTTATACTAAAACATATGCATAAGGTTTAACACATTGGTAGAGTTGATTTGAACAAACTGAAGACTTATAAGCTGATAGAATTTAAAGACAATTTAGAGACCATCTAGTCCAAGTCTATCTTCTTCCGGATAAGGAAATGAAAACTAGAATATTAAAATAATCTGTCAACGGTCATAGAGAGCAAGTTAGAGTTGTTCTGCTATATTTAATACTGTTTATGAGTAAATCCCAAAATTATTTGTGTTATTTAAAAAATTAAAATAAGTATCATCAGCTTAGGCAACATGGTGAAACCCCATCACTAAAAACTAAAACTAAAACTAAAAATAATTAGCCAGGCATGGTGGTACATGTCTACAGTCCCAGCTACTTGGGTGGCTGAAGTGGGAGGATTGTTTAAGCCCAGCAGGTTGAGGCTGCAGTGAGCTGTGATTGCGCCACTGCACTCCAGCCTGGGTGACAGAGGGAGACTCTGTCTCACAAAAAAAAAGAAAGAAAGAAAGAAAAGAAAAAATATTATGATTACTATAGCACTTCAAGAAAAAAAGACAGTAGGATCAATATCTACTATACTCCTAAGCTAGGTAAGAATATAGTTATATTTTAAAATTCTGTGTTTAGAACAACAAATTGAAATTCCTTTTAAGAAAAATCCAGGCCAGGTGCAGTGGCTCATGACTGTAATCTCAGCACTTTGGGAGGCCAAGGAGGGTGGATCACTTGATCTCAGGAGTTCCAACCAGTCTGGGCAACATGGCGAAACCTCGTCTCTACAAAAAAAGATTAGCTAGGTGTGGTGGTACACATCTGTGCTTGACTGCCTGAGCCAGGGAGGATGAGGCAGCAGTGAGCCATGATGGTGCTACTAACTTCAGCCTAGGTGATAGAGTGAGAGCTTGTCTTCAAATAAAATAAAAAAAAAAAAAAAAAAAAAGGGAAAAAACAAAAATCCAAATCCAAATGGCCCAAAAACAAGATAATACACTAAGAATTTGTAAAAGGAGCAAAACGACAAACGAAGAGAAAAAAAAAAAACAAATTATTTGCATCTGTAAAAATAATTTTGTTTTCTTATGCTTTTTTTATAGCTCTTTTTAATAGATACCTAAAGGCTCTAGGTCATGAAGTTCAAGTCTTAATACATGCCAAGTGCGGTGGCTCACACTTGTAATCCCAGCACTCTGGGAGGCAGGAGGGTTACTTGAAGCCCCGGGTTCAAAACCAGCCTGGGCAATAAAGCAAGATTTGTCTCTACAAAAAAAAAGAAAAAGAAAAAGAAAAAAGCTGGGTGCGGTGTCACATGCCTGTAATCCCAGGACTTTTGAGAGGCTGAGGCTGGCAGATCACTTGTGCTCAGGAGTCTGAGACCAGCCTGGCCAACGTGGTGAAACCCTGTCTTTACAAAAAATACAAAAATCAGACGGGCTTGGTGGTAGGCACCTGGTAGGCACCCCAGCTACTGGGGAGGTTGAGGTGGGACAATCGCTTGAGCCTGGGAGGTAGAGGCTACAATGAGCCGAATCACACCACTGCACGCCAGCCTGGGCCACAGAGTGAGACCTTGTCTCTAAATAAATAAATATTAGTTGGGTATGGTGGCATGTGCCTATAGTCCCAGCTACTCAGGAGGCTATGGCAGGAGGATTGCTTAAGCCCAGAAATTCCAGGTTACAGGGAGCTATGATGTGCCACTGCACTCCAGCCTCGGTAATGGAGTGAGTCCCTGTCTCTTAAAAAAAAGGAAAAAATAAATGTCTTAATATGCATGCTTAAGATCAATGGGAAATGCAAATCAAAACAAAAATGAAATTAGATAAATAATCTGATTTACAGGATATTTTACAGAAATATGTCAATGATGTGAGTTTATTATGTTTAAAATATTAATTCCATTAAATTTTAGATCATTTTGAGAGCTTCTAAAAAGTAGCTCCAAAATAAACATGCCTCTGTCAGGTCAAACTGCTGGTCCAAGGAAATAATAAAAATAAATTAACAAAACAAAATAAACATGCCTGAAATTTTAAAACTTAAAATAAAGTATATGTATAAATCTCTTCAGCACGGCAGACAAGATTTAAGTTAGCTACATTTTGTGTACATTGGAATTCCTGTACACTGTTATCATAAGGCTATGATATCTTTATTTCCAGAGGCAAAGCGGCAATAATTTTAAAAAATTAAGACTTTCAGTCAAACCTTTATAATTTTCAGGTTATTTACTTCAAGTTTACATATAGTTCCTCCCATAGAATACGTATTTTTAGTAGCTAATTCATAAAATCTTCATCATCACTTAAGAACAGTAATTTGGCCTGCTATCAAAACTAAAAATATACTAAGTTATTTAATAAATTTTAAGAAACAACAATGCTGTTCAGAAGGAGTCAAAAGAAGGAGTCAAAAGAAATATTTCAGGTAGTCATGAAACAAATAGGAGTCAAGGTATCCATCATCTGCTATGGTTACTACTGCTTAACAGTAAATGATGGTATTAGTATCCTATTGTCCCTAAAGCTAAAGTACTACTCTAAAAAGTATTTTAAATCTCTATATATTATTCTTAAATATTCTCATTAATCAAACAAAATTATGATGATGGAAATTCCTACTAGAAGGGATTATTCTTATAGTCAATATTTATATGATGACACATTGCATTTTGTACATTTAAAGATAGGGAAAAAAGTATATTATTTCAACATATTAAGTCTTGAATTACTAATCTGAAATTAAAGAAAAAGCCTTAGAGCATTAAAATCCCACACCTGAAAGACTTACCATTTTATCTAGATGTTCAATGGATCTATAAATCTCCCCCTGGGATTCATCATAGTAACTGTAACGGAACCTTTGACCTTGAAACAAATATCATGTACAAAATAAAATAGGGAAAAATTAGAAGCTAAAAAGAAAGCAAGCGCTTACCAAATAATTTCAGTTCTCATGAAAGGCAAAGCACAGCTTAAGCCTCTGAGAGAATCATTCCCAAGAGCCCTTGTACATAAAAATAAAAGGCATATTTGGGAAGGTAATAAAGAAATGATATCACCAATGTTTTATGATGTTAAGAACTATTTCAAATTGTAGAAACCTTAAAATCACCAGAAATACAAGATTAAGGAAACAAAACAGCTTAAAAGTTAGAAGCATTGTTAAACATTTTATCAGTCTATATTGGAAAGTAAACCCAAAGAATATTACTGAAGAAAATTTGGTTTAAGAAAACTATCTTGGTATAACAAATCACTAAAAGCCTTTGCTTTTGCTGTACAAAGGTTTGATCTCTATTACAGGGAAAAAAAAAAGTGTAGGTCACAAATACTGTAACTTATGTGATTTTTATGAAGTAAATTTTTTAAAAAATATCTCATTTTTGCACTACTTAGAAAAGGATCAATACACGTGCCTTATGCAATGTGAACAGAACACACAAAAGGGTAAATATAATATAAATATAATAAATATTCCTACCCTGACATAAAATCTCAGTAAAAGCATAGAACATTCAATGTTTTGGCTATTCTCCAAAGAACAGAGAGGGTAAAATGAAAGAAGCTTAAAGAGAAGACAGAAAACAAAAGTCTCAGAAAAATTGTTTCCTACTAGTTACATGAAAATCAAAAGTTAAAAATTTTCTTAACTAATTATGGAGTGTTCTTACTCAACTGACTATAACGTATTTCAGATACACCTAAATCTACCTTTCAGCAGTGCCTTTTTTCTAAGAAGTCATTACTTTTGTATTTCCTTAATGTTAAAGATTGACCAAAATGCATTTCTAAAGGAATTAAGAGTATACAAATCATGTACACACATAATGTGTCTTGTGCTTCATGTTTAGAGCAATATTGATATATCCAGTTACCACCCTCACACCTGAAGACATGGAACTCTTTAGCTGGATAATTAAGATTTTTAAGTTTTCTGTTCATCTTACTAAAAAAATTACGTAAATGATGAGCAGTGCAAAATTATAAAACCCTCTTTGATGTCCTTTTTGAAAAACTACACATCACAGAACTGAAACACTTCATTCATTTGTTGACACTGATCACCTCTGATGGTCATCTTTCTAAAATATGTCATATTTCCTTAATGTTCACATTTTAACTTTTCGTATACAGTAATATAATTACTCAATGTAGCAGTCCTTATTCTCTCCCAAGAGCCATTATTCAATCAATATTGCATCTCATAACTTAACTGATGATATCCTAGGATTGGGCAATAGGGTCTGAAATAATATCTGCTTCCTGAATAAAACAATAAAGATTACTGCATGTTACCTTAGCTATGAGATCAACTATAGTCTTTGAACTAAAAAAAAAATTCTTAAAACAATGATAATTTATCATTCAATGCCTCTATACTGATAATTCATTAAACATTTCTTTCAAAATTTAGAGTTAGGTATAGCTTTATTTTTCTGTAAAGAATGTATATATTAATACTTCGTGCATAACTAACAATGAGAATTACCTAATAACTATATAATTGAAACTATTTTTTCTTTTCTTTTTTTTTTTTTTTTTTAAAGACGGAGTCTCACCCTGTTGCCCAGGCTGGAGTGCAGTGGCGTAACCTCGGCTCACTGCAACCTCTGCCTCCCGGGTTCAAGTGATTCTTCTGCCTCAATCTCCCGAGTAGCTGGGACTATAGGCATGTGCCACCACATCCAGCTAATTTTTATATCTTTAGTAAAGACGGGGTTTCACCATGTTGGCCAGGCTGGTCTCAAACTCCTGACCTCAAGTGATCCACCTGCCTTGGCCTCCCAAAGTGCTGGGATTATAGGCGTGAGCCACCGTGCCCAGCCTGACACTATTTTTCTCATTGCCAGGTGGCTGTGAGAAGGCTGCTCAATGCCAAATCTAAAGTGCAGTTATAATAATTTATCGATTCAATTCATTTGATACTAAATTTTTACTTCTATTTCAAAGCTATTTTGACAAAGCTGTCTAAAATCTTTCTGAAGCAAATGAACACCTTAGACAAGAATATTCTGACTCACTCTCACTATAGTAAGAACAATATTCTTGGAGGAAATCAAGGTAGTATACACCTCAATTCTTTGAACCTTAACTGCTTTAGGTTTACACTAATACATTCTCTCTTCCCTGCTTCTGGAAATAGCTATTAGTTTTGGCTACTATCAGTAAGTCTTCTAACTGGGACATAATCTACTGCTACTCCCAGGTGCAGAGAAAAATGCATACACTTCATGATAGTCATTTGCTACTCAAAAGTCTTTTCTGCTTAATTCCAAGTAAAGAGTTGCTGTTCCAAATGGCTGAAGTTGGTCAAACCAGACTTAATAGTAAGTGAAAAGTCTATACTTTAAATTGCTATCTTGTTCATGTAGGCCATTTTCTATGTAACTTTCACTTAAAAACTGCTTCTGAAGGAAAAAAAGAGGAGATGTTTGAAATACTTTAAAATACTGGATCGGCATGGGATTTAATGAGAATGCAAAAATGCACAGAGAACCAATGGGAGTAAATGCTATCTACTTTTTGTTACTCTTTAGTAGCCACCTCATATTTAATAACTGAAAAACTGACTATAAATATTTGAAGGACTCTAAAGAATGTTTCGATTAAGTAGCTAAATCCACACTACATATGGCTACTACACTGAATAAATATTTTAGTTGTAGCAGCTCAAATTGTCTCATGGTAATTTTTAAAAATTATACAAATATTTAAAAATCACTTGAACAATGAATGTATTCTGGTCAATATACATACAGAAGGCATCTAACTTGAAGTAAATGGTTGCCATCATCATAGCCTGTATGTATGTGTGTATTTACATATGTGTGCATACACACACACAACTTTAGTCAATCACCACTCAGAAACTGAGTTTAAAATACTATTTTTTGGTTTCTATTATTTTAAAAGTGTCTCAAAATTTTATTTAATAATAAAGAAAATGATAGCACAAGCACAATAAATGACCATAAATATACCTTTAACTAAAAATGTATTATTGACTTAAAATAAATCATAATTATATGTATCTCATGAGCAAATTTATTTTATTTTTATAAGTTTTTGTGTTTCTGACATTCAGTAAAGGTTATGAATCTAAACTGTAAACAAATACAATTGCCCATGTACCTGGAGAACTGGACTTTTGTACTTTTATAAGTATGAATAAAGCGTATCACATAGTAAGAGAAAATTACTTACCTGAAACTTATCCTTTCAGAAGGTACACTGGGAAAATGGATTCTTTGAGCCCCTGTTTCAACTCCAAGTATGAGCATTCTAGCTTTAAGAGCCATTGACACTGCCCCTAGGGACAGCACAAGCTTTGGAACTCCCCTAGTGAGTATGTCAGTAGTTTCTTCAGGTGCCTTCCCTCAGTTCTTTTCAAATTCAAAAGATGAGAGGAAAAATAACCCAAGAAAAAAATCCTGTAAAGCAGAAACCTTACTCTTTGAGGGAAGGAGGGTAGCTCATTTGTGAATCCATTCCAGAGCACGCTTTCTGAGAAAAAGAAATACAGGTAAGTAATTTTCCCATCTCCAAAGGTGACTGGTGATTAATGAGTGGATTCACAGAGTGTGGAGAATAAGCTCCAGGGATGTCTGTTTAACACACAACAATCAACTAATGAGGACAAACATAACAATGAATGGTACAAGAACCAATGCTACTTTTTAAGTACCTTAAAACAAAAGGTAAAAGAATATTAAATACCTCAACATTAAGCTATGCACTGAACTGCAAAAATAATGACCTTGGAAAGTTGATCTATAAAACCCCCAAAAGATCAGTCAATAAGATAGATTTTCAGATATATATATCCAATAAAAATTATACTGTCATACATTTACTTAATCACATTTTTTAATATGTTAAACCACTTTCAAATATTTGAGTTAAACCTCACAACAACCTTGTGAGATCAATTACTAGGCCATTCGATACTAAGGATCCAACCTGGGGACATTCATAATTGAAATCACTACCAAAGAAAAAATGTATTTCATAAAAGAAATATTCTCTAAGTAGCATCAAATAAGGTAATCACTTTTAAAAGATAAATACTATCATGTTTTCATTCTGAAGTCCTAGCTATAATGTATAAGTATTAGCCTTATCTCAAATCTGCAAAAAGTCAAAAACTAAATGTGTAAAATCTGTATGTACAAATATTTGAGAAGACAAATATGATGGCTTGGTTAAGGTATATTTTAAGAATTAGCTAACTTACACTCAAACCAATTTAATTATTTAGAAAACAGCAATAGCCTTATACCCAAGAGACTAACAGAAAGGAAGAGTATGCATGAATAATCACGTTAATATGCAATAAAGAAGAAATCTGAATGTTATAAATTTCATAAATATTTAGGGGAATGCCACTTTTAATAAGTGGTACGTATTTATAAAAAGCTAGTAATGTAAACCAAAACAAATATAAATTTATGCATAAAAATTCAAAATTGCTGAAAAGACTATAGTAAACTCATATTTAAAGAAGAATATAATGTCATAAACATTCACCAAGTAAACTTATCTAAACTGATTTGCAAAACCACCATAAAAGGTAAATCAAATAAAGCATGAGTCCACTTTTACTTTTTGTTTCTTTTTTGTTAGAGATGAGGTCTTACTTGTTCTCCAGGCTGGATTCAAGTAATCCTCCTGCCTCACCTCCCACATAGCTGGGACTATAGGCACAAACTACCATATCCAGTTCATGACTGCACTTTTGAAAAATCAATTTTTGCTAAATCCAATTTCATTTAGAAACTTCTTAGAAGTGAAAATTATGTTAATGAAAGCTGCCAACAATCTAAATTTAGAAATATAAATTTCAGGAAGGTCATGGAAACACAAATATCAATCATATATATGAAGAAGGCCAAAACTGAAACTTGAGAAGAAAATTCTACTAATTGAAAAATTAAAATAGGTCCAGACAAAATTCTCTCATACGGAGCCATCCTATAGGATATAGAACTTGAAAAGCACAAAAAGTATTGGAACAATTTATTTAACCACAGTAAAGTATACAGACTAGTGGCAAATGTCTTTTCACTTAATCTACTTCCTGCTAGTAACAGAAAGGATGAAATGAGGTGAAACTATTTTAAGTGTTGCCTGAGCAATATAATCTGGCATTTCTATATGTACAAGACTGGTGATGTGATAAAAGGCAGGAACTGAAATGCAGGGTTTCTTTTTGGGGAACTCAAATGAGGGGACTGAAAGAAGGGGGATAATGGAATCTAGGTTCCTGTCTCTCCCTTGACTTACCTCAACTAGAAAGAAAACTTGAGAGTACTTCAGTATGTCTACCTTTATCTCTCTAATGTCTCTTTTTCAAGTCTAAATAAAAGCTACAGGGCATCTGAAAGATGAACATTTTTAAAGTAAAATACATTTAAGAAAATAGATCATTTTTATAAAGAACATTGGCTAACAAATAAGGTCAACAAGAAAAATCTTCCAATTTACACGTAATAATCTGAAATGTCTCTATCACCAGGGTTTTCACTTTACTTTCGGCAACAGGTAGGCACACTATAAAGAGAACCACTGACTAAAAATGAACAATGTAGTCACTGCCAGTAATCTAATAATCAAAACAAAGAAACTTCCACTGTGTGTAGCTAAGTAATTTTTCAAGTGTACTATAATAAATTTTTTTTCCAAAAAAATTCAGGTATTTATAGAGTGTGTTAAGAGGTAACTCAATGAACCGTTTAAGACCTCTGCATGCATGAGGAACTGAATCCCTCCTATGAAATTATTTAGAAGTCAGTGTTATGATTGCTTCTATATAATAAAAATCAACCTGTATAGTACCTCTTTAAAAAGAAAAACCATTAAGTATTATCTTCAAGAGAAAAAGCTGAATTTTTGAGATGATAATATGGCAGGCTTACTAATTTAGGAAAGATACCCGTCGCCACTACAGTATGAATGTGAGAAACATGAAACTTAATTCTTAAGATAGCTTAACCCATAACTGGTCAATAATTCATATTACTTCAGTAGGCATGCAAAAGAGGAAAATGTATCTTACTTTACAAGAATTACTGTGGTAGTGAAAAGACTATCAATTTTGGAATATTATCTATGTTACACCTTTCACTTATCTCCAGAACCCCAACATATTTCTCAGTAAGAAGTAGCACAGTGCTTTCCATAAACACAAAGAAAACATTTAATGAGTATTATTAATGATGGTGATACTAAAAAATAAACTCTTGAAAAGTTCTATTACTTAAACACCAAACATAAACATAAAAAATGTTTTAGTCTCTAGATAATTCTTACAACTATTATTCATGAGTCTTTAAATTTTTTTGAGCTCTTTTTTGTAACTATCACCTGGAAAGCCTATCTTACAATTTAGATACCAAAATCTCCAAGAAATCAGGAGACAAAACAACCTCAATAATTTTCTAAGAATCTAGGTAAAAGGTAAAACAAATTTATTTTTCTCTCTCAGCCATTGTAGTTACATATAGCAGTGGACTAGGCTTTGCTTACTTTAGAAGTCTTTATTAATGAGGTAAAAAGGATGATTCCACAGAAAAGAGCAATACGGAAATGTTTACTGACGTTTTACATGAATTTATGTTATGATTGCACAGGTTGCCAACTTAGAGAGAAAGCCCAAGTTCTGAAAAATAATATCAAGGGAACTAATTATTTAAATCAAGTGATTAATAAGAGCCTTAAAAATGAAGGAGGGGTGGGACACTTGCTTCAAGAATTTTAATTTTCAAAACATAAAGCCATGCTTTGTTACCAACACAAATTCACAATATTAAGGAAAATATCCTGTTTTGCAGTAATGATACTTAAGTTTTCAAGATCACTTATTAAATTCCAAAATTCCACAGAAAGGAACTCCTTTTAAGCATCTACCAAGCCTTCAGATCTAAGCAGCATACTTATATCCATAAAATGTAACTTCTGCCAAAGGTAGCAAACCAGCTAACCAATAAAATCAGTAAATAAAGAACCTTGAATATTAAAAACAGATTTAAAAAAAGAAGAAGACCCCTGAGAGCTTCTCTAGGGGGTTGAAAAGGAAGCACAACTACCTGCATATCCTAAAAATCTGGGTTTCCAACCTCAGCACTGCTGACATTTTGGGCCTGGTAATTCTCTGATGTGGGAGCCATCCTGTGCCATTGTAGGATGTTTATTTAGCAGCTACCCTGGACTCTACTCATTAGATACCAATAGTATTGCCACCTCCAAACCATATCCCAGTTGTGGTGATCAAAACTGTCTTCAGGAATTTTCAAATGCCCCTCACAGTAAAATCACTCCCAGTTGAGGATAAGTACTTTATGCAAAAAAATAATCTGTACCATTATGAAAGATAGTTCTCTTGAACTGAGATCTCAACTTTGAAAAGGCCATTCGGAGACAGAAGCAAGAGAAAGACACCAGCCCAACCAGGCCAGATAAATGTTGAATTAATTCTGGCAATCAATGGGTAAGACATATAAAATGCCATGGCTCCCTATGTTTCACTGAGGATGTTCTCCTGGCTATTCTAGCATTGTATCTTAAAAATTATGGTCTTACATTTTAGGTTTCCTTATAATCAAAGAAATAACTGATAAATGAACAGATATCGGCATCTTAAACCAATAAATTAATAGGTTAAAGAGATGTCCTAAAAGGAACAAAACTTAGAAATATTCTGGGACAGTAATGGATAAAGGAAAGTAAACTGCATCCAAAGACCGTAAAAGCAACGTTTACTAAAAGAGGAATCCACAAACAGCTCACTTGTCTTATGGTGTATTCACTGTGAAGCATTCTTACTCTTACAATAATCAAAACATCACTCAAGAGTCCTTACCCTCATAAAGCATTACCAATGAAGACCACAGTGCTAATAGCCAGTATGTTATAATCTCTGGAGGGTAGCTTTAAACTGATGGCAATTGTGGGCAAAAACTAAGCACCAAAAGGGGAAAAAAGAAAAGAAAAAGACTAATTACAAAAAAGGAAATGTGGAAAAGGACTGGCACAGCACACAGTGCTCTTCTATATCCTAAAGAACACTGGATTTATCCACCAAAACTAACTTCAAAGAATCTACCATACACACCTACTTGGAAATGAGGTTAAAAGATCTTAACTCCCACTACATAAGTATCTAAGCAAGGATGCCTTCACAGTGTGAATCCAATTATACCAGTCGCCTTTGGAAATGTACCCATAATCCACTATTGTAATCTGATCCTTTTTAAAGGATCAAAAGATTTTTTGTTCACTTTTAAACATTGCTGCCAGAAGTAAAACTTTCCAAGGAAAGTGATAAAAAATTGAAAATCAGAGCTTAGAATGAAAAGATACCTTTAACCAGAAGTATATAACATCTACCATGATATGTTAAAATCTAGAACTTACCCCAGTGGCAGAAATCAGAAGAAACCACAAAGAGATTACTAGGATCCGCTAGATATTTACTGAAGAGTTTTCCGAATTCCTGTTCTTTTGACTCACTCAGAGCTCCAACCAGTACAGGAATAATGGTAAACTCATCCTTATGGCTTAAAGAAAACAGAAAAAAAAAAAAAAAAAGGTCATTTAAGATGCTTAAGAATGAAAGTAGTTCTCCAAATGTGTTGGCATTAGAAAGTGGAATATGTATTAATAGTGGTAAGGACAACATACATGATATTATTGTTGAATTCTTAAAATCCATAAATTAAATGTTTAAAGGGTACGAGGGTACGATTAAAAATATGAGTCATACAGAATACTAAAAATATCCATTTAAACTACAGAAATATATTACTTCTTTAGGTAAACAAAGCTATTTTACTACCAGGTATAATAACATCTCGAAAAATAAAAACAAGCCCATCAGAACAGCACCAACTCAATTGTTTTCACGTACTCATCAAGGCTACAGTCATCTGCCAAATCTTTCTGTGATTATAAAAGAACATTAAACTCTTCCTCGCCTATTTTAATCTATCCTATTATAAAAACCATCATTTCTGGCACTTGCTCTATAAACCTGCCAAGTGAGACCTACAAAACTTAATCTTGGCTCCCGTAAGATTTATCAACTGCATTTTTACACTTATCCTAATGATCAGATACAAGACAGTCGGAAGATACGACTCAAATTTCATTGGCATCTAGGGTAGACAAAGAATTAAAGGAAGTAAGTATTAATTTCTAGCAGCAAAAAAAGACACCACAGCCACCCACAATGTTTATGGCATATCCACAAGTCCCTTTTTCACTCTACAGATTGACAGATTTATGGAAAAGAAACAAAGTAGATTAATAAAGAATATGATGAGCTATAGAAACAGATGTTCATTCAAAACCATTTTTTAAAAATGTTATTGTCATGAAATTTTACTTATATATATTCAATATTATTTATATTCTAAATGATCCCAGATTTGGTATTTTAGAAGCATGAACCATGTTTGTCTGATTTGTTGTTAACAGGACCTTTTTTAAAAAAATCACCATTATAATAAATGCTTTTTAATATGATAATCTGGCACTTAACTGATGCAGGACAAACAAAATTCATCAAAGTTTTTAAAAATACTAAGTTTAAATAATCCCCAAATAAATGTTAGCCCAGCTGCATAAAGCTAAAGCACCTCCCCCGTAAGGCCCCCTTACCCTGTCAATTGCGAAATAAACAGATCATACAGATCTCCAGTCCCTCTGCAATGCAGGGGCTTCTTGGGCAGAATCTGCATCTATGGAGTAAGAGAAAAAAAGGAAGCTGGCAGAGGAAGCTGCCACAGGATCTCTTTCTCTAACTGTTACCAGTTTGCTAAATAACTGCCTGACTGAATCCAGCTCTTCAATTAGTTAAGACTAATTGTCAGTTGAAAGAAAAGAATTAATTATTCTAACCTCAACTACTACCTACATTAAAAAATACATTAAGATCATCAAAGTGTCTGTGAGTAATTATGATATGATTGGAAAGTAGTTATACGGAGTATAAAGAACAAGGCGAAACCAGAAGAAATGGGTTCAAGTGCTATCCCCACCACATACAAATGTTCAGAGCATAGATAAGTTCCCGAATTGTAAATATATTTCCGTATCTGTAAAATACGGAATCATAATTGCAATACTTACTTCATAAAATTGTTATGAAGTGAAGAACACTATAGGAAAGGTACTTCGTCACAATAGTTGGCTCACTCTGAATAAACAACACGTCTACTCTCCACAAGAGCCATTAATCCCTTCAATTAACCTCAGTTTGAGCTTGCAAATCTATCTATAAGGAGGTACAAAACTCTGTTCTCTGTTGAAACCTAGGACTTGAATTGGGGCTCATTCATCCACCCCTCTGTCATCTGTCTTTTTAAAAAATTACTTGTTCTCTATCTCTACAGACAAATAAGCATGAATTAGAAAAAAGAGCATTTAGCTTTGAAAAGTAATACTACTAGGATTTAAAATCCAAGTTCTGAAGTTGAACTTCCAGTGAAAGAATACAAAATCTCACCCCCCAAAAGCAATTATAAAACTGGATAAAAGCGTCAAAAGCAACCATCTTTGTTCTATGGAAATCAACCAAAGGCAAAACAACAACAACAAAAAAAAATGAGAAGAACATGTTAATGAAAAACTACAGAACTTCCTGGTAACTACGGTGGAAATCTGGCATCTTACCAGGAGCTACCTCCATCCCCTACCCTAGCTCCACTGAAGTATAAGTTCCATCAAGGAACCCGCACATTCATTGCAAAAAGGGGATGACTTTGACTTGGAGCAGAGAGTGGAAAACCCACACTCAGCAGGAAACAGAAAAGCCTGCAGATTGCTTAGTCCGAGATTGCTGTTGTTGAGGTGAGCCAGAAACCTGAGGACTAGCTAGAAACTTAATAGAAAGACAATGGAAATGGCAAAGCCATAGAGAGACTTGATAAATTTTCCACACATCCTAAAGAGAGAGCCTATGCCCTCCACACAACACTGGCTGACTAGGAGCCTGCACACATGTACACGGGAGTCCCATAAAGTCCTAAGCTCCACACAAAATGCAGTCTAACTGAGAGACCGGCAGCATATGCATGGGGGAAGCTGGAAACCTGAGAGACCTAGCTCTCCACACACGCCTGGCTAACAGAAAATTTGGGTACATGCACAGGGTCTTAGGTCTAAGACAACATAATAAAAAGTAAAAGAAACAAACATGAAAACAGACTATACTTAGTTGATTTTTTCTTTTAATCAGAAACAGGGTCTCACTATGTTGCCCAGGTTAGCTTCAATCTCTGAGCCCAAGTGATCCTCCCTTCACAGCCTCCATACAATCTCCCAGCAGAAGGTGAAAGCCTTTCTGGCTCAAGGTGTTTAGGTATAGCCTTCAACCAATAATTAGCTAAGCACTAAATTCAGGAATTGCAGGTGGGAACCCTACAAAGCCAAGCTTAAAATTACAAATTAAAAAGTTTTAAAAGCTGGGGAGACACATAAGTAACCACACATAGTGGGAGACACAGATTCTGCAGTTGAAGTCCATGAAAGTTACTAAACAAATAAATAAATACAACCTGCAAGGGAAAAAAATGAATAAAAACCGAATCCAAAGTTACTATAACATACTACACAAAATGTCCAGTTCCAAAAAAAATTATAAGTCATGGAAAGAAACAGCCAACTATGACCCGTATTCGGGGGGAAAAATAAGCAGCCAGCAGAAGTTGTATCCGAGTAAGAGCACATATTGGATTTAGCAGACAAAACCTTCAAAAGAGTTATAAATATTATTCAAAGAATTACAGGAAGCCATGCTCAAAGTTGTGATGATATAACTAAAATAGGGAATATCAACAAAGAAATAAATGCAAACTATTAAAAAGAACCAAGTGGAAATTTTAGAGTTGAATAGTAACTGAAATGAGAAATTCAAATGAGTTCACTAGATGGTCTGAAGAGCAGATTTGATATTAAATAGGAAACAGTCTGTGAAATTACAAAAAAAACCAATCAGAACAGAGAAAAAGAACAGAGCATTGGAGATTTGTAAACAACATCAAGCATATCAGCACGTACATAATCGGAGCTCCAGAAAGGGAACAGTAAAAATATTAGAAGAAGTAACTGCTGAAAACGTTCCAAATTTCATGAAAAAACATTTACCTACAGATCTAAGGAATTCAACAAATCCAAAGTATGATAAGCACAAAGAGATCCTCACCCAGATACATCATAATCAAACAGCTGAAAACAAGACACAAGAAGAAAATCTTGAAAGCAGCCAGAAGCAAGTAACTTCTAACATATAGGAGAGTTTTTTAACAAACAGTACTAGGACAACTGCATATCCATACACCAAAATAAAAATAATAATAATGAACTTGTCTCTTTGCCTCACATCATACGGAAAAATTAATTAAAATTGGATCCTAGAACTATAAGAACTAAAACTGTAACACTTCTAGAACAGGGATCAGCAAACATTTTTTGAAAGGGGCCATTAAGTATTTCAAGTTTTCTGGGCGACACAGTATAGAAACTGCGCAAAAGTTCAGGTAGAGAGAAAGCAGGCATAGACAATATGTAAATACAGAAGTATGGCTATGTTTAAATAAAACTTTATTTACAAAAGTAGGCTGTGGGCCAGATGGGGTTCACAGGCTGTAATTTGCTGACTCTTGTTCAAGAAGAAAACAAAGGAGAAAATTTCTATGACCTTGGAGGAGGCAAAGTTTTCTTAAATTTGATAACAGAAACAGAATCTATACAAGAAAAAAAGTTGATAACTGAATTTAACAAAATGAAAAACTTCTGCTCTTCATTAAGAAAATGAAAAGTCAAGTCATACAATAGGAGAAAATATTTGCAAATCATATATCTCATAAAGAATTTGTCTCCATAAATTCTCTTATAACTCAATAAAACAATGAATTACCAAAATAAAAATTGGGTAAAAATGTATGAATATGCAGATGACATGATAGTATATTTAGAAAACCCCATTGTCTCAGCCCAAAATCTCCTTAAGCTGATAAGCAACTTCAGCAAAGTCTCAGGATACAAAATCAATGTGCAAAAAACACAAGCATTCTTATACACCAATAACAGACAAACAGGGAGCCAAATCATGAGTGAACTCCCATTCACGATGACTACAAAGAGAATAAAATACCTAGGAATCCAACTTACAAGGGATGTAAAGGACCTCTTCAAGAAGAACTACAAACCACTGCTCAGTGAAATAAAAGAGGACACAAACAAATGGAAGAACATACCATGCTCATGGATAGGAAGAATCAATACTGTGAAAATAGCCATACTGCCCAAGGTAATTTATAGATTCAATGCAATCCCCATTAAGCTACCAATGACTTTCTTCACAGAATTGGAAAAAACTGCTTTAAAGTACATATGGAACCAAAAAAGACCCCGCATTGCCAAGACAATCCTAAGCCAAAAGAACAAAACTGGAGGCATCACGCTACCTGACTTCAAACTACACTACAAGGCTACAGTAACCAAAACGGCATGGTACTGGTACCAAAACAGAGAGATAGACCAATGGAACAGAACA